TGGGATGGGATGGGATGGGATGGGATGGGATGGGATGGGATGGGATGAGACGGGATGGGATGGGGTGGAGAAGATGAGTTCTGTCTCAGTGATGGAGAGAGAGAGAGGCCTCATCCTTCTATCTGGAAGGAAGACAAGGTGGGAAAAGATGGAAAGGGACATGATGGGAAGGGAATGAGATGGGAAGGGAATGGAAGGGGAATGGGAGCACCTTCCTGCCAGTGGGGAGGGAGAGGACTCCTCCTGGCCCCTGGCTGAGATGGGATGGAATATTGTGGAATGGAATGGGTTGGGATGGGGAAGGGGAGCACCTTCCCACCTCCAGGGAGAGAGAGAAGGACTCCTGCTGCCTGCACTGCCAGCACTGGGGCAGACCTGGAGGACTCTGTGCCATCCCACTTCTCCCCAGATCCCCATCCTGCGGGCAGCCCAGGCGGTGGCCAAGCGGCCGCTGTCACTGTACGCCAGCCCCTGGACCTCCCCCGTCTGGATGAAGACGAACGGCGCGATGACGGGGAGGGGGACGCTGAAGGGTAACCCTGGGGACAAGTACCACAAGGCCTGGGCCAAGTACTTCATCAGGTGAGGGGCCATGGGAGCACGGTGGGTGCCAGGGGATGCTGTGCCAGGGCTGGGACTGGCACGGATGAGACGGGGCCGTTCACCATCTGCCCCACACCAGGTTCCTGGATGAATACGCCAAGCACAACCTGACCTTCTGGGCAGTGACGGCAGGGAATGAGCCCACAGCTGGGGAGATTGTTTTCTACCCCTTCCAATGCCTGGGCTTCTCCCCCGAGCACCAGCGGGACTTCATCGCCCAGGACCTGGGCCCAGCCCTGGCCAACAGCTCCCACCGCCACGTCCAGCTCATCATCCTGGACGACCAGAGGGTGATGCTGCCCTACTGGGCCCAGGTGGTGAGTCCTCACTGCAGCACTCCCAGTCCCACAACAGTTGTCCCACTCCCACGGCGGTTATTCCAGCCCTGGGCACCGGTGACCTGTTTCTCCTGCCAGGTTCTCAAAGACCCTGTGGCCGCCAGCTACATCAGCGGCATCGGCATCCACTGGTATCTGGACTTCCTGGCTCCCATCGACCTGACGCTCTCCATCACCCATCACCTCTTCCCGGACTATTTCCTCCTCTCCACAGAGGCCTCCACTGGCTCCTACTTCTGGGAGCCCAGGGTGGTGCTGGGTGGCTGGGACCGTGGGAGCAAGTACAGCCACAGCATCCTCACGGTAGGGCTGGGCAGGGGACGGGGATGTACCAGCAACCCCCTGTGGCTCAGCACCGGCACTCAGCTCCACCCCTTGCCCCGCAGAACCTCAACAACTACGTGACAGGTTGGACCGACTGGAACCTGGCCCTGGACATGGAGGGGGGCCCCAACTGGAGCAAGAACTACGTGGACAGCCCCGTCATCGTGGACAGCAGCAAGGACGTCTTCTACAAGCAGCCCATGTTCTACCACCTGGGGCACTTCAGGTGGGTCAGGCGCTGCTGGCTCCTGCCGCCGGCTCCAGTGCCATTCCTGGCCACCCTGCTGAGACCCCGCTTGTCCCCACAGCAAGTTCATCCCCGAGGGCTCGCAGCGCGTGGGGCTGACCGTCTCCAAGAAGTGCCACCGGTGTGACCTGGAGCACTCGGCTTTCCTGCGCCCGGACGGCGCCGTCGTCCTGGTGGTCCTGAACCGGTGAGTGGCTCAGCCCTGCGCCCTGCCGCAAGGCTCCACCGCTCCCTCTGAGCTCCACCCCCTCTCTCATTCCCCTCAGCTCCGCCGTGGACGTGTCCTTCGGCATCTCCGACCCCCGGGTCGGCTTCATCGAGGCCGTGGCTCCCAGTGACTCCATCCAGACGTTCCTGTGGGCACAGCCAGCCTAGCGCAGCTCCCGCGGGAGCGAAGTGCCGGCACTGGGAGCACGGCGCTGGTGGGGGCTTTGGGATGGGACCCCCCTCATGGGGTTGGGGCTGTAGCAGAGCCCCTGTGGCCCTCTTGTGCCCCAGGGGACCTGTTTGATCCAGGGGCTGCGACGCCTGCGCTTTTCTAGATGTTTTCGTAAAATAAATAGGTTTTCTACAACCTCGCCTGCGCCCCCACCCCCCCTTTGGTGCCAGCTCAGCGGGCAAGATCTGTCAGGGATGCAGGAGGTAGGTTTGGGGCTGATGGCATCTCCTGAGCCCCGTGGAGTCCTGCCCTGCCTTGTCCTGCCCTGTTCCTGGGGGCATCCTGCGGGGTTGGTGCTCCAGGATGCAGGGAACTGTCACCCCGAGGGGTGGCATCTCCCTCCCATCTGCCACTGCAGCATCCCCAGGGCAGGGCAGGGCAGGGCCCGAAGCTGGCAGGGCCCGGCGGACCAAGAGCAGCCAGGACCCGCAGCCGGGATTTAGTGCAGAGCCCTGGCGTCGGCAGCTCCGGTTTCTCCCCGGCCAGAGCAGGCGGCTGTGGTTTCTCCTGCCGGAGCAGCCATCAGCCCCTCCAGCTAATGGGAACCGGGAGCTTGGGGCGCATACTTCCTCAGTGACGTTATGGGGGAGCGGGCTCGGGCTGGGGGGGGCTGCACTGAGTCATCCCCCTCCCAGTGGGGCCCCTTGAACTGGGCCAGCACGGGGGAGGCTCCGCAGCTGCCCGGCACCGCAGCTCCGCTCCCGCACGGCACAGGGGACCCCCCAACCATCGGGGCTGGGTGGGGGGCACGTGGGGCTCGTGTCCAGGAGCTCGGCCCGGGGACATCCAGCCACCGCAGCGGCAAGGCCGGGATGCCGGTGGCGGCGGCAGCGGGCGGCCAAACAAGCGAGGGCTGTGTGCCGGGCTGGCCCGGCGCCGCTGTTTCCATCTGCGCTCTCGTAAACGCGCAGTGGCCGGCAGGGAACGGCGGCAGCGCGGCCAGCGCCGGGGGGGGGGACCAGCCCCACGCCGGGTGGCCCAGGGGTCCACGCGGGGGGAAGGGGCGCACAGGGAGCCCAGGTGGCTGCCCCCCCGACCCCGCTCGCAGCCCACCGCGGGCAGCCCACGCTCAACGCGGGACGTGCTGCGGGGCCGTGCCAGCCGCGGGAGCTCCCCGGCGCTGGCAGGCGTGGAGGAATGCAAACACATGTCAGCGCCGGAGGGATCCCGGCTGCTGGAGCTGGGCTCCGGGTGTCCCGCCGGCAGCGGGGAGTGCTCCCGGGCCTGGGGACGTGTCCTGACGAGCAGCCCCGGCCGCGCTTGGCACCGGTTTCACGTCCCCAGCTGTGCCGCCGCTGCTCTCGGGGCAGCCGGGCAGGCAGCAGCGTGGAGGGGGAGGGATGAGCCCCATAGAATCTGCCCAGAGGGATTCCACGTTGGAACGATGTGGGCTCAGCTGCACAGCTGCAGGAGAAGGGACACGGGATGCAGCTGAGACAATACAGATGCTTTTAGGGCCCCTCTGTGCCCAGTCCCCGGTGAGAACCTGGGCCTGGGGCCAAGGGCAGAGCTGCTGGTGCCCACTGCAGCACTCCAGCCTGGAGCGACTGGGGAAACTGGGAAGGACTCTGAGCGTGCTGAGAGGACAAGAGGGAGGTTTATTGGCGTGGCAGGGACACTCCTGCAGTGAGGGCCGTGGTGGTTCCTGGCGGGACAGAGAGTGGAGCACCCACAGGGAATGACGCTGCCAGGCTCCCAGTGTAAAAACAGTCAGTTCCAGGTGTCTGGGACAGTCACACAGCTCGTCCTCACTCCTCCCCCTCCTCTTCCTCCTCCTCCATGGCGATGGGCTGCCGGCCGGCCGGCCCCACGCCGCCACGCTGGATGGACACGATGCCGCTCAGGAAGGCGTAGCCCAGCATGGCCACCAGCCCCACCAGCACCGACAGCAGCTGCTTGCGCCGTTTGTGGGGGTCCTCCTCTCCCTCACTGCTGTCCGTGCCTGCAGCCCGTGGGGCACCGGCCAGGGGGTCAGCTGGAACAGAGCAGGGATGAGATGTGTGTGGAGGGGAAAGGTCACTCTGAGCCCGCAGGGTGAGGTGGGGGACGGCCCTCACCTCCATCCCAGGGGAAGTAGAGGCTGAGGATGGAGGTGCAGTAGTTGCACAGGTTCTGCAGGGACTTCAGGTGCTGCTGCAGTTTCCCGTTGGGCAGCTTCGCCTTCAGGAGCGGCGCCAGGCGGCTGAAGACGAAGGCGTCGAGGGAGGCCGGCCTGGGGCACAGAGAGCCAGAGCTGGGCCACTGTCCCCACCCAAAGCCACCCAGACCCGCTGGCCACCCACCCAGCACCCTGGGGAGTGGCACATGGCTTCTCCTCCTTGGGAAGGCACTCTGCCTCCAGCCTGAGGTGAGGACAGGGGAGCAGGCTGATCCCATCTCAGACCACTCCCACAGCCTGAATTCCTCACTCCCTGCTGCCTGGAACAGCCCTGTCCCACCCCCAAAGCAATGCACAAGGGCTGTGACTCTCCTGCAGACCAGGGGAGGCTCAGCCCCGCCAGGGTGTGGAGGGGGCTCTCAGGTCCCTTCCCCTGCTCCCTCTTTGGCCACCTACGAGTCTCCGAAGAAAAACTTCTGGGAGCCGAGGCGCTGGGAGAGGAGTGTCAGGCATTCCCGAGCTTCCCGGTAGAGCTGCAGGAGGAGGAGGAGGAGGAGGAGGAGGAGGACAGAGGGTTGTCACCCACCCAGGCACTGCCACGGTGCTCAAGGGAGACAGAGGGGGTGAATCCCAACCCCCAATTTGGATTTTGGCATCACATGGACCCCCCGTGCACCACCCAGGAGCTGCTGTAGACCCCCCATCCCTCACCTGCTTCTCCAGCTTCTCCTCATCCTCCATGTAGTCGTCCCCCCACATGAGCTGCAGCCGCTCCAGGTGCCGCTTGTGCATGGAGTTGGGCAGGAAGAAGTTGAGGGGGAAGGGGATGGTCTCCGCGTACCATTTCCGCGTGTGCTCCACGTAGTTCTTCGCGTCCACCCAGAACGTGTGGATCTGCGGCGGAGAACAACCCGCGGCCCGGCCACGGCGGGGCTGCAGCCAGGGGGGCCGGCACACCAGAGCCCCTGCCACCAGCACGGCCACCCCAGAGACCACGAGGGGCTGTGGGAACATCCTGGTGCAGGGCAGACCCCAGCCCTGCCTGCACAACCCACCCCTGATCCCTGCCACGCCAGACCCCCGGGATGTCGCTGCCGGTAGTGCTCTTCGGCTCCGCAGTGGGGTGGGCACACACCTGAGCCCACCGACACGTCTCCAGGGAGCAGATCCCACCCTTGGCGAACCCCCCTTCCCCACGGCTCCCCCCTGAGCCTCACCAGCACCGGCAGCAGCTTCTCCTCCAGCAGGGACACGAAGGCCAGCGTGTCTGCGTTCTGCGTGGCCGACAGGTCGTAGTCGGCGTTGTACTTCTGCAGAGGAGACACCACGTGCTGAATCCTGCCAGACAGAGGGGCTCTGGTGCCCCCCTAGCCCGGGGAAGGGGGTGCTCCACACCACCCCTCCATACCTGTTTCCTGAGGTGAGTTATGATCTGCTGCGTTTTGGAGATGGTGCCCTCGTCCCGCGTCCTCAGCGCGGGCAGGTGCCCTGTGGGCAGGGGGAGTGGGGGCTGCAGGCACCGTGCCTGGGGGGCACCCTGGGCGGGCAAGGGGTTGGGGAAGGGAGGGCTGGGACAAGGGGAAGGGCCCCCACGCCCAGATGAGGGGTGGGAGGCAGAGGGAGAAGTGCGTGTAAGGTGGGGTGGGGGGCACAGGGGTGAGAAAACCATCTGTGGTGGAAAATGAGGATGAGGGGGGATGCAGTGGGATGTGGCTGTGGGTGACAAGCAGAGGGGTGTAAAGGGACAAGGGAGAAGCAATGAGGTGCAATGGGACAGGGTGGGCAAGGGGGCGTGAAGGTGCAGGGGGGGCACAGGAAAAGG